GTGTGTGTGGAGTGGAGCCCACCTAAGGCTACAACATGAATTATGTGCGCTGCCCATAGATCTTCTGCAGTCAGAAGAGTGTGTGAGTCTTGGGATTTGGATTCACGCTGCTGGACTCTCGTTTTGCATTGCCCTGATGTTCCTTACTCCTTTGTTCTTCCCTTTCAGAACAAGGACGTACTCAACTTTTTAAAATCAAGCCCACAGTTCAGAGACTTTGAAATTTTAAAAGGACATGGAGTTTTTAAAGACTGCAGAACTTTTAAAAGTTGGGTTGTGTTTTACTTTATGATATTAATGTGAGATCCTGGGGACGAGAAAGGAAAAGCTAGAGTCTGGCTATCTACACATTACCTCTCACTTCTATGAGTTTTCCTCCATCAGGGGATTTCCCTTTTCTTCGTAGCAAAAGGAGTTGACCTAATTTGCTTATTATTTTTCTCGTCTGTAAATGTTGTGTTTCTTTAATCTTTAATCATAATCCCAAAGTATCCACAGTGGATGGAATTGATGAAAATAAAAGGATTAGTTTGCATACACTGGCTGAGTAATTACTTGTAAACCTTTATCAGGAACACCTGTAGTTAGAACCAAGCGTGCAAAACCAGAGCTGGGAGCTGCTCAATTGGTAAAGTGCTTGCTAGGCAAGCGTGAAGGCCTGAGTCAAATCTCACGAATCCCATTTGAAACTGTCAGACATGGAGGTGTGCCTGTAATTCCCACATTGGGAAGGATAAGACAGGTACATACCTACAGCTCACTAGCTGGCCAGTCCAGGCTATTTGGAGAGTTCCACGTTAGTGAGAAACCATGTCTCAAATAAAATGGAACAATGGATGGAAGCTGTGTTATAACCTAAGGTGTTATTTGATCTCTGAGTGCACAGGCTTATGTGTGCTCATGTGCCCACACACATGAACACAGCAATGCACACACATAAAAGACATGATAAAACAGTAATTATTTACCTTCAGATAGGTAATTATGACATTTTTGGAATCTTTTGTGAAATTTCATACATCCGGATAAATTGTGGTTAAATTCCTCGCACATTCCTCCATTTGGCTCAGGTAACATCTCTGGGGGCAGGTCTCTCTGACCCAGCTCTGAGGGGAATACAAAAATCACGTGTAAACACTATGGGAATTTCACCATACAGGGCTGGGGAGATGGTTAAGTCTGTAAAGCACTTACTCCACAACTAGGAAGAACAAAGGTCCCGAGAACCCTTGAAAGAAACCAAGTATGGTAGCCTATGATATAATAATGCCAGTGCTGGGGAGGTGGAGACCAGTGGGTCAGTGGGCTTACTTTCCCAGCTTACTCAGCCTTCTTGATGAGTTCCAGGCCAATGGGAAGGTTAATTCTAATACTCGGCAGGCAGTGCAGGTGATCCTGGAATTGGAGACCAGGCAGGGCTACATAGCGAGAGCCTGTCTCAAATACACAAGGAACAAAAACACAATGAAAGAAAAACTAAAATTAAAAAAACTAACAAAAACAAGTAGGTGGCTCCCGAAGAGCAATACTCACCCACACACGCACGCAAACCTGAGCGAACATTAAATAAAGAAATTTGTTTGATAGATAAGTCAAAATTAATTAAAATTTAAAAACTTTAGAAGCTAGGCAAGATAGCCTACATCTGTGGGATTTCTCCTGTATCCCAAGAGAGGTAGAGGCAAAGGATCAAGAGTTCAAAGTTAGCCGAGGTGCGGGTGACAGAGTAGTCAGGAAAGTACTCGGATAAAAGCTAACACAGAAAAATCAGTAGCCTTCGTCAGCAACAGATGCACCAAGAAAGAATAAAGAAAACAATCCCACACCATAGCCTTAAAATCAACCCACACCATAACCTTAAACATCAATCAACTTTGGGATAAATTTCACCAAAGAAGTGAAAAGTTTACAATGAAAACTTTAAGACACAGCAGTCACACTCTGTGACCTCTAAGTCGGGCAGACCACAGTTGTCTTTACAGCACAGTGCTAGAATGTTTGGGTGTCACAGGCTATGGAATATTACTCCTGGAGCATGGGTTTCCTACTGTGAAAACAACTATTCTGGAATCTGTACAGGACCCATGCCTGTCCCAGGAAGAAATCTGGGTGGATTGCCTGCCTCTCCTCTGCCAGCTTTTGTTTACTGATTCCATTCATAGAAACAAAACTTTAGAGCTGGACAAGGCGGCACATGCCTACAGTTCTAGCTCCTCCAGGGACTGAGGGGGAGGGGACCTTACGAAAGCCAAGGAGTTGAGACAACCCTGTGTAACATAGCAAGACCCAACCTCAGAAAACAACAACCACAAAACACAAGCCCCAAGAAAAGTTCATAAAGGTACATGTCCGACACACATGAAAATGACTTCCAAATACCTTGTCTCCGGCACTCATCTCATTATACTCTGGCAATCAGAGAAGGATCATGGCTGTAAAAGTGGAGCGGATGCAATCAACAATGGTGTCGTGGTATTCACTTGTATTTTAATAAATAAAGCTGGCCTGAATCTCAGAAAAGTAAACAGCCACACTAGCCATTCTTACAGACCAGGCAGTGGTGACAGACACCTTTAATCCCAGTAGCCACACTAGTTTGCCATAGAAACCAGGCGGCAGCAGTGCACGCCATTAATCCCAGAGCTAGAAAGTATTATAAGATGGGAGGAGACAGTTCTCAGTCTCAGTCTCATTCTGAGGTTTCCTGGAGGTAGGATCCTCATTTTTGGACTGAGGTCGATGTAAGAGCCAGTGACTGGCTGCTTTGCTTTTCTAACCTTCAGGTTGAAGCCCAATATTTGTCCCTGAGTTTTATTAATCATGCTTCACAATGTTATCAATTTAACTTGGCATATTCCTTATCTCTTTTGTAATTGAGTGTGGCACTGCCAAGCCAGAAGAATACTACAATTACTTCATACACTAATACAAAGAGTAAAATTTCATTCCATTTCATACCTGGCTCACTTCCTGAAGTGGGGAGGATAATCCAGGCCAATCAAAGAATTTACTGGGGCAGAGCACACTCTGTGGGTCACCACCCTCTGTGAATATCTCTGCCTAGAAGATAGCCAAAGGGCATAAAAAGAAAACATGCCAGTCCTGCAGGTCACACATGGGTGGGCAAAAGGAGACCTGTAGGAACTCAGAAGAGGAAAAGCACACTGACCTAAGGATGATGTGGTGTTGCACATCTGTAGTCCTACCATGTGGGAGACTACAGTAGGGGAATAATGGACTCAGGTCAACCTAGGACACATCTCCAGAACAGACTTTGTGCCATAAATCACGAGACAGGGAGAGAACAATGAACCTAAGTGTTAAGGCACACATCTGTAACCCAGCACTTCAGGAGTGGAATAATTAGGGTCAAACGTGGTGGCTACATACTGAATTTGAGGACAGCCTGGGCTACATGTAGAATTGAAAGAGGAAGGGAGGGAGGGAGCGAGGGAGGGAGCGAGGGAGGGAGGGAGCGAGGGAGGGAAGGAGAAAGAGTTTCAAATGCATTATTTCTAGGATAAGCTATTTAAAAAGACTGAAATAATAGGCTGTAATACTATAATCGAAAATGCAGTTATACATGGCTATTGGAAGCCCCCTCAAAGAAAGACGCATAAAATATGACCCTTGGCATCAAAGGGTTTACTATCTACTTGGAACATGCCCACAAACAGTGAATTCAATGCAAAGTCAGGGCTTCTGACTTCTGTAGGAGTTACAGAGTATATTTATAAGGAGAATAAACACTGATGGTTATTCTAAACTATAAAGGGTGCACACTCGGGTGGTGATATGTAACACTGGTGTTAGATTCCACATCATAAAAGGACAATGTCAATCATTTCCATTTTAAAAATTAACATAATTTACAACTCAAGATGACTTGGATGCCTTAAGAACCCCTGGAATGGTGAGTACCCTTTTCCTCTTACCATACTTTTCACAGAGGACCAAACATGCTGGCAAGCTGTGTAAAGTCTCATGCAGTTACTTTCCAGACATGGCCGGCATCCATCCCAGGAATCCACAGAAGATGCCTGGCATAACTTTTCTTCTTCTTCCAAATGTTCTTGCACTTCGTTCATGAGTTTTAGGGCCTCCTGGTTAAAACATAAAAGCACAGGTTTCATTTCGATTTCCCGAGTCTATGTGTACCTTAGTTGGTTTCCTCTTTCTAAGTGTATATTAGCACCAGGGGTTGCCAGATCAGCTCGGTTGATAGGGTGCTTGCCTTGCATTCCCAATGCCCTGGGTTTAATCCCCAGCACCATCTAAACAGGCACGGTGGCACAAACCTATAATCTCAGTGCTCAGAAGGTTGAAGAAGGAGGATCAGAAGTTAAGGTTATCCTTGGCTACCTAGCAAGTTCAAGGTCATCCTTTGATACATTAGGACCTGGTTTCTACAGAAATTAAGACCCTCTAAATAGCTTCAGTTTTTATCTTCACCATCCTCACTGCTGATAGATCTGTCACAGTGATTTCCGTTTGATAAAGTCTTCTGAACAAGCCTTTACTGAAGGTTATGAAAATCTCATTATCCATTCATTTGTTCATCAAGTATTTATTGAATAATTACTGCATGCTGAACATTATACTAAATGTGGATGAGCCAATAGCGAAGACATCATCCCTACAGGGAACCACTGTGATTACCTTCTGAATTCTCTATCTGCATCACTTACCTATTTGGGACACGAAAAGTGGGATTTAAGGTTAAGAAAACTGATATTTTAATTCTTTAATTTAAGCTTCCTTAAGTCATTGTATGGGTTTAGTCACTGTAAGACAGCACGATTCTAGTATATACTAACTACAGTGATTGGCTTCTTTCTTCTTGTCTGTATTCCAAATGCGCCCCCTTGTGGTGCTGTTTGTACTTAGCTAGGGCCTGGTACTGTCGGTAAGGAGCCAACTGCAATGACAACTGTCTCAGTTCGGTCCTGTAACCCTCCCTGATTTGACCCCTGACCTTACTGCACACAGGAACTTCTTGCTTGAGATGGAGTTCAGGAGAATGAGGCCTATACCAGGCTTCAGAGCCAAAGCAGCTCTCAAGTGGAAAACAGATGAGAGAAATTTTTGTTTTTAAAACCATTTTATTACAGACCTTTGTTTGTCTGTTTTCTGAAACAGGTAGTTCAGGCTAGCCCTGGTTCTCCTGCCTCAACCTCCTATGTGCTGGAATTATGGATATTATCATAGACTGTGTGCATGTGTGTGTGCACTTGTGTTGCATGTGTGGATGTGTGAGTGTGTCTGGTGTATGTAAATTTATGTGTTTGTATGTGTGCATATGTATTGTGGAGGCTAGAGGTTGAAGCTGGGTTTCTTCCTCTGTTGCTTTTTTGATACAGAGTTTGCTCACAGAGATAGGTCTGCCTCTAATTCCTGAGTGCTGGGATTATAGGCATGCCACCACTGCCCAAATTTAAGACTTTTATGTTATTTCCAGTTAACTTTTTGAGTACCCAAACTTAGAGTCTAATGCAACTGATTTTTGTGTAATGAATAAAATTATAGGAATAACATTTCTACTAATTGCTGGGATTTTTCAGGACCTGAAACCTTGGTCCTCACAGGAATATTCTCTTCCTAGCATTGCAGCCTTAGCTTGTAGTAGGCGTCTTAAGAAAATAAGAACAACAGTCAGTCAGTGGGTCCCACATGCTCATGTCTTCTGGCTTCCTCAGGTTCATTCATATCAGTGCTGGAGCAACATGTTAGCTAACAGCTTTAACCTCAACTCTCCTAGCTGCAGAGATCAAAGTGTGGTTGACCTAGATGTCTGAAGGACTCCAAGAGATGATATGTTTTGTATTAGACATTTAGTGTCGCTATTCCCGGATGGTCAGACCATAAGTCCACCAGGGAAGAACTAGCATGGGGCCTTCCACACAGTCCTCATGAGGAGCTGTTTAGGTTTCTTCACCATCTTCAGATTGCTGCCAAAAGGGAGGGCTTCAGCTGCCAGCTGGGCCATCTCCTTCCTGCCTGGTAAGTGACCATTACACAGGTTTGCAGTCAGCTTGGCAGCTTCTGCCCTCGCTGATTTGTGGATTCCCAGCGATCACAGTGCTCAAGAATGGTAAGATTCTGGAAACTGTCTGGAATTCATTAACTCCAACTTTGTAGGAACTTAGGTAAAGACACAGTTGTGCATTGGAACTCCATTAGTATTTCTCTTAAGTATGCATGTGTATGTGCGTCATCTGTACACAATGTCAGATGTCTTCATCTAGCGCTAGGGTTGCGGTCACACATGCCCCCATACTTCAGGGTTTCGGTCACACATGCCCCCATACTTCAGGGTTTCGGTCACACATGCCCCCATTCTTCTGTGTTGCTGCTCTGAACTCAGATCTCCAAGTCTGTGCAGCAGGCACTTTACCAGCTGACTGAGCTGTCTCTCCGGCCCCCATTTGTGCTTTTTAGTTAATCATTTAATAAAGGGGAGGTTTGATGGAAGAGAAATAGGGTGCTGTTTCTGCATGGATCTCAGCTCTTGCAAAATGAGAACAATTCTGGCAGTGATGCACAGCATTCCGAATATAATTAATACTACTAAACTGTACTCAGAAATGATTAAGGCAGAGGTGGGAGCAGAGCTCCGTCATAATGTGTGAGGTCCTAAATTTTATCCTAGTACCACAAAAGGGAATTAAAAAAGAAAAAGATAAAGATGGTAAATTTAATGTAAACACATTTTTCCCAAATTTCAACATTTCTTTAAAAACATAAAGTAACTATCAGCATTAACATTTAAAATATTTTCTAAAATTATTTTGTATTAATTAATTTATTGATTGATGAATTAATTTATTTTTGCTTTGTGACAGGAGTCCCTCTTCTGTGGCCAAGACTGACCTGGAACTGTTTGGCCTTGAACTTGTGGTAATCCTCTTGCCTCAGATTCTGAATATTGGAATTACAGACATAAGTCACCTACCCAGACTTTCCAAATTATTCTGTTATAGGTTTTATTTCTGTGTTGATTATGGTCATTAAAAATAGTGTTAAAAAACCTCTTGAAAATATTTGCTTTGAATGTTGTATTGTTACTATTATTAAACTATAAAGTATGTAGTGTCTATAGTCCAATACAATAGTTTAGGAACACTTTTTCACATCTTCAAAGGACATTTGGATATAATATTTATTGTTTACTGGAAAAATACGTACTTGGACTATAGCCATACATAAAGGTGTTTGATTGGGTTGGGGAATGTGGTTCGGGGTAGAGCCCAGCATGTACTCTATCCCTAGCATCTCAAAAACTAAAAATAGAAAAATAAAATGGGACTGGGATGTTGCTCAGTAGTAGAGTCCCCTGTTACAACCACTGACAATGCTAATATAAGTGTAATAAAATGGGCTAGGCCAGTGTGCTATTTAACATACTCTGGTGTCTGTGAGAATGCTGTCAAACATGTCATCTGCCAACTATATGAGGACCCTGAGGAAGGGTCCCTTCATTTTATAGGTATTGGCCAGGCCTCCCCTAGTTCTCTGTTTACTTTTCTTTTTAAAAAATATTTGTTTATCTAATTAACTCAATTAAAAAATGGGGTGCTGATCTGAACAGAGAATTCTCAACAGAAGAACTCCGAATGGCCAAAAGACACTTAAGGTCATGCTCAACATCCTTAGCGATCAGGGAAATGCAAATCAAAACAACTATGAGATACCATTTTACACCGGTCAGATTAGCTAAAGTCAAAAACACCAATGATAGCCTATGCTGGAGAGGATGTGGAGAGAGGGGAACTCCCATCCATTGTTGGTGGGAATGCAAACTTGTGCAGCCACTGTGGAAATCAGTGTGGCGGTTTCTCAGGAAACTGGGAGTCAATCTCCCTCAAGACCCAGCAATTCCACTCTTGGGAATATACCCAAGAGATGCCCTATCATACTACAAAAGCATTTGTTCAACTATGTTCATAGCAGCACTATTTGTAATAGCCAGAACCTGGAAACAACCTAGATGCCCCTCAATAGAAGAATGGTTAAAGAAGGTGTGGAACATATATACACTAGAGTTTTACTCAGCGGTAAAAAACAATGACAACTTGAGTTTTGCATGCAAATGGATGGACATAGAAAACGCTTTACTGAGTGAGGTAAGCCAGACCCAAAAAGAGGAATATGGTATGTATTCACTCATAAGTGGATTCTAGCCATAATTAAAGGTCTTTGAGCCTATTATTCGAGATCCTAGAGAAGCTAAATAAGAAGGTGAACCTGAAGAAAATCATGTACTTATCCTCCTGGAGATTGGAAATAGACAAGAGTCCCAGGTAACCTCGGGTGCATGGGGGGGGTGGGTGGGAGGGTTGTTGGAAGGGGAGAGGGTTAGAGAGAAGGGAGTAGGGGAGGAATGGGGAAAACTCGGGGGACTGAGATAGGGGGAGGGAGGAAGGATGGATATGGGATCAGGGAAGAATGTATCTCAACTAAGGGAGTCATTTTAGGGTTTGCAAGAGACTTGATTATAAATGGGATCCCAGGTCCAAGGAGAGATCCCCAGATTGTTCTCTGGACAGAGGAGAGGGTGCCTGAACCGGCCTTGGCCTATAACCATACTGATGAAGATTTTGCTTATCACCATAGATCCTTCATCCGACGATGGATGGCGATACAGACGGAAACCCACATTGGAGCACCGGACTGAGCCCGCCATGGTCCAGATGAGGAGCAGAAGGAGGAAGAACATGAAGAAAAAACTCAGGACCGCGAGGGGTGCGATCACCCACTGATACAAGGGGACTGGTCTGATGAGAGTTCGCCAAGGCCAGTTGGACTGGGACTGAACGAGCATGTGATCCAACCAGATTTTCTGAATGTGGCCGGATTCTCTGAATGTGGCTGGCCCGGAGCCTCTCTGAAAAGCCATTGACAATGACACTGGGACTTGTTTCCTCTGCATATACTGGATTTTTGGGATCCAGTCTGTTTGGACACTCACCTTCCTGGACCTGGAGGGAGGGGGGAGGAACTTGGACTTCCCATGGGGCTGGAAGCCCTGACTGCTCTTAAGGATGAAGAGGGAGGAGGAGGGGGAGGGGGTGAGTGGGAGGGTGGTGGGAGGAGGGGCGGAAATGGAAACTTTCATAATTTAATAAACAAACAAACAAACAAAAAAAGGCCTAGAAAAAATATTTGTTTATTTATTACATATACAATATTCTGTCTGTGTGTATGCCTGCAGGCCAGAGGAGGGCATCAGACCACATCACAGACAGTTGTGAGCCACCATGTGGTTGCTGGGAATTGAACTCGGGACCTTTGGAAAAGCAGGCAATGCTCTTAACCTCTGAGCCATCTCTCCTGCCCCTTTTTCTTTTAATTGTAATAATGAGGAACCTTCTCAGAGGACTCAAGGGTACTAATGCATTTTTATATAGCTGCACCTAGACTAACTCTCAATTCTTTCACCTTTATTTATTTGCATGTGCATTTCCGTGTCCGTGTGGGTTCAGGTGGCCATGGTGTGCGTGTGGAGGTTAAAGGAAAGCTTGTGAAAAGTCCATTCTTTTCCCACGGGGTGGGTTCCAAGGACTGAACTCAGGCCATCAGGTTTGGTGGCAAGTGCTTTTATCCACTGAGCCATCTTGCTGACCTGCAATTAAACTAACTCTTAAAAAAAGAAAGGCTAGGGGGCTTTAAAGGTTTCTTGGGGGAAAGAAATCTAGAGGGGGAAAGCCCATTGGTAATTTAAATGCAGTGGTCAAGAAACAGGGCAGACTGACTGTCCTTCATTATAAGCTCATTATTGCCACATGTCAGGGTAAGACCGGTGCTCCAATCAGATTTGGGAATCCGATGATATTTTTAGACAGCCAGGAGACTACTCAAAATGTAGAGTTCAAAACTGGGTGTGATGGTAGATACACATAATTCTAGCACTTAGAATATGGAAAGGTTGAGAGTTCAAGACCAGCCTCAGTTACAGCCTGGGTTACATGAGACCCCGATTCAAAATAAGAAAGTAAATAAACATTAAAAAGGAAAAGAAATATGGAATTTGTAACCATCATCCCCCTATATATATTTAGGAATGGTGTCTAATTATTTGTTTATTATTAGTGATAGGGACTAGAAATCCTTGATCTAGCCAAAAACTCTCCAAATACTTTTGACTTATTAGTTTAAATGATACTAAAAGTGAAGAATTTTGAGAAAGCAGTCTTCTTAACTAGGTATCAATCCCTAAATCATTGTGTTCAAGGTCCTGTAGAAGATGATTAGACAAGAAAATGTAAAGCTCCCTCCGGCTTCTCCAATCTAAACTGCTCTCCAGAAATACGTCATCGGGAAGGAAGTCACTCATTAACTGCACATATTTATTGCTGCAATTGTCATAGCCGGACATGCTTAAGAACAGTAGTTTTCAGTGATGGTACCTGCTTTTCTTCTTTACATTTCTTCAAGGTTTTCATCAGTTGTGCGTGCTCTGTCTCTCTCCTTTCCATCATGATTTTCATCTGCCTAGCGCCATTCAAAGCCTTCTTCACTTCTCCTCCTGTATCTGTCTCTAGAAAACCTAAAAAAACATGGTTGAGGTTTCTTTTAATTTTATTAGGAAACAGTAACCTCACCAGGTTTTTTGTTTAGCAAACCCTAAATAGCAGCTTGATTGTTCTTGTACAGCCTTTCAATCTAAAGCTCTTCATGATGAATTAGCTGTCAGTTGTTTTGGTAATCTGCCTTTTGATTCTCATGTGGGAGCTCCTGAACAAACCTTATTTGATCTCAGTCTGGTCATTTTCCACAAGCCCTGTTTTCCTTTATCCACTTTTCTCTATCACTGGGTACTCAGGGATGTTTGTATTAGAAAAACATCTGGATTTCTTTTACAGTTTATATGAAACATTCAGCAGAGGACTTCAGTGAACAATTTTCCTTTTTCAGTTTTAATTACCTTCCAAGAAGCCATCAGAATGTATGTCATATAACACATACATAGTAGCTTAATAATAGAAGTTTCTTTTGTAATGTTAAATGTCCCTTTGTGGGTATAAATTCGCTGCCATTTTGTCTTCTCTTTAACTAATGTGGCATTATGATGATCTTATTTTTACGTCTGAATTTAATTACAGGCTCCAAATCAATTTCATTTTAGCTAATTTATTTTATTAGGTGTTAAATGCCTCCAATCTATATCACCAAACAAAGGTCACAAGTTAATGGGCACAGAATAATCAGATTCACTGTCATGACAACCCACCCCTTAACTAATATAAAAATAGTTACAGAGACTACTCTAATAGTTTACATTTTTTAGATGCTGGGAAAGTATTTTGCTGTTCACTGAAGATATGGGAAGAGGACATCAAACATATGGATAATACAAAAGAAAATGCAGGCAAAACATTGGCAAGATTTAACTGCATGATTGCCAGCATCTGGATATGTGAGTGCTGGCTCATGGAGACTTAACGGAATTTTCTATTTTTATCCAGATTTTTTGACATCACAAGGATTTGGTTTACGTGGCTGGAGATCATTTCATCATGAAATGTAATAAATACACTTATCTCAACTTCAAGTCCATGGAAACACCAGCAGGTCAGGCAAACAAATGAACATGGCAGATAAACCAAGCATACTCTTCAGGCGTCCATCTGTAGCAGCTGTGTCCTTCCAAATAGGTGCACTGTGACAACATTTGAACCATAGCAGATACACAGAAAGCACCAAGGATGGAGTGGTTTCATGTTCCAGGTTTCCTATAAAGGGAAAATCAACCTGCTTTAATGCCTTCATTGGCAACCCTCTTGTATAACAACTGAAAACACATGGTGCTCCTAAGCACTTTTCTGACAATTTCTCCTTATGATTTAGATAATTCATGCTAAAAAAATGTCTGGCATATTAAGAAACATAAACTATAAATTCAAAAGCCAAACCAACTCTGTCTATTTTGTTTACATTCTTCTTGACAGCTAACTGTGTACTACCATGTCCAGCTTAATGAATACAGATACTGCGGCAATACAGTTGAAAGTTCCACGTCCACCTGGGCCACACAGCCAGACCCTACTTCAATTAGTACAACAACGATAATGTCATCTGCTGAAATGCTTGAAAGCCAAGCCAAGGAATGGATTGCACAGATGGATTTTGAGGTTATGTGCACTGACAAAGGACACCTTTCATGAGCTGGTCCTCTCCTTCCACCACATAATTCCTGAGGAATGATGTCACGTGGGGAAGCCTGGCAGCAAGCCCTATCTGACCAGCCCTGAGCTCAAGCCTTAATTCAAGCTCACTTTATAAGACAGGATGCAGTCTCTGTTTCTCTCTGCTTAGCTCAGCAGCATGCCAGAGTGGTCCAGCCCATTCGTGCCACAGTGCTGTTATACTGTCTTATACTGATGATATCTAGTCTATACTGTAACACAAAGTCCTTGAGAATAGACATTCATTTACACACATATTCATTATTTAATAAATATAAGAATATGTTTTAATATATCGGATGAGCTTCCATTCTTTCTAGATCCCATACCTGATTGTGTTATAACCAGATTAACTTTTTCAAACAACAAACATGATCTTGCCCAGTTCTGATTTTGAACATTATAAAGGCAACTTGCCCTAAAAATAATTTGATCATAGGATGAGCATAACACCTAAAACTGTACTTCAGTGTTTATCTGCTTGCCTGGTTATGTGTAAACTCCTGGCGAGCAAGAGCCACATTGTGCTCAGGGTTCGTTCACCTGTCTTAACAGTGCTAGAGGTTAAACATATGGCTGTGCAGTTGCTAGGCAAGTATATATATATAACTCAACCTTGGCTATACAATAAATTTAAGGACAGCCTGGAAAATGACTCAGAAACAAAGTAAAACAAAATTAAAAAGGAGGTTGTGTATACGAGTGTATAATATATGTGTGCACACACAAACCATCTATCCTAACCACGTGAAGCATTCACACTCCAGTAGCAAAGAGGATGAGCTACCAATTCTTTGTTATAAATACCTATCGTCTTTACAAACCAAAAAGCAAAAGCAAGCTCCTTGTAGGAACAGCTGATTTCAGGGGCAGAGAAAGCAAAGCACAAGATAAATCAGGAACAATTTATTCTGCCCGAAAGGAAATGCACAGATAGGAGCATGATAAATGGGTACAGCAGACAGTTTAAATATGTTCCCCATGACTAAACTGGGAACAACTGAAGTAGCACAAAAAGTGAGATAGTAACAATTCACATCTCACATAAAGTCAAAGCCATTTAATCTCTACTTTTAGGTAATAAAAAGGGAGAAAAGAGAAGCAGTTTTCAATCAAACATCATCTAGTATATGCAGAGAGAAAATGGGAATAAACAGTAATCGCTAAACAGCATTAAAGTGGTTGATTTAGGCAGGCACCATCAGTGACACCAAGGCCAACAAGTGAAGGTTTGATAAGAAATAAGAACTAAGAAAACAGCACAGTTTTGGAGTTCTTTTCCACAGTTATGTCTTGTTACATTCATTGTTAGTGACATGATTCAGTACTGAGTGCTCTGGATGAAATTCACTAAGAAGGCATGGCATCTTTTCTTGATATTACTGCCAGGAAAGCATAACTTGCCTGGGGGGCATGAGGAAATATTTCATAGTTCTAGGTGAGCGTAATGAGAGAAAATGCAGGCTTATACTTTACAAAACTGCCACAGACATGGAAGATGAGGAAACTGAGGCCAAAGATGTCTGAAAAATTAACATAGTATGTATTCCTGAAGAGTAGAATGAGGATTGTATAACAGGGCTTTGTTTTTAGAAACCAAACACTGTAGTGTCTCAGGGTAAAGGCACACATGTCTGAAGCTTCCTCAGAATGCTGCAAAAGACTAATAAAATCATTTGTGTTGAACGTACACATTTATGCATGGAGACAAGAATGGTAAGCAATTAAAGAAATGTAGCAGAATAGTAACAGTGAAAGAAATCCAAATGAAGGTATACAATTGCAGAGGTCCTGAGTTTGATTCCCAGCAACCATATGGGAATCATATGGTTGTTCACAACCATTTGTAAAGAGATCTGCTGCCCTCTTCTGGCCTGCAGATATCCGGGCAGAACACTGTATACATAATAAATAAATAAATCTTTATTTAAAAAAGAAGAAAGGAAAATACCTTTGATCTTTTACCTACGGGTAAGCTGTATAAATATATGCACTTCACTTTCACAAGTGAACACACCCAGGAAAGAAAGAGGAAAGACAATCAACACTCTCAGAAGTGAGGAGTCCCACAGGAGCTTGAAAGAGTGGCCAACAAAACTCTGTCTCCAGGGCACAGTATGCACCTGTGTATAGCCCTCCATTTATAGGGCAGCATGCATGACTTCAGGACACTTTGTAAATTCGGGATTCTCAGAGCTGTGAGAAAGAGAACAAATAAATGAAATAGGAAAATGTAATTCTATTTTTCCCTCTTTGTCTCAAAGATGATTGAAACCTGGGGACTTTTAAACAAGGATTGTTCCGTGCATTCCGAAGCTGACTGTACAGAAAACCGAAGCCACGCCTTCAACGATGCACTCAAGTCTGCACAATGTTGGCTTCCGCGCCAAGAAAAGTGTGTTTCTAGAAGACAGTTGGTTGGAGCTACATCTTCTGAGCCTGCTTAATACTAAGGCCTGGGAAGTGAAAAGTTACAGAATGGACTGCTAAAAGAATGTTGGGAGGGAGGGTGACTAAACATACTTACTGTTCTTAAAGAAATAATAGTTTCCAAAAATAAAAAAACCAATGCTATCATCCTGCCTTAGAGTAGCTTACAGAATAATAACAGAACATGCAAAGTACCACTATTTTGAGATTATCATTCGCCTTCTACAATGCCTTGAAAAGCAGTAAATACATGAAGACACATGGCAGCTGTTGTCCCATCACTGACAGTATTAAAATTACATTTTAACCTAATTTCTGGAAAGTTCTGCAAAAGTAGCCTAAAAAAACAAACTAAAATTTAATGGGGAGGGGTCTAGTGAAATAGTAATCAAAACACTAAGAAATTAGCAGTATCCAAAGTATACTAACCAAAAATTCAAACGTCTGCACATTCATTCTTCACATCTACAAGTAAAGCTTTCCTGAAATGGGTCTTTGCAATACAAGATTTTTCAACGTGCCTTTCCATACGAACGGAGCTTGTGGGAATAAAACCTCTTCAGGAGCTGCTTCATCAGAGCTCCAGCTCCAATTTCCTCCGACTCCAACATCAATGTAAGAACAGTTCCCATAAACAGGGACAGGAATGAGGGTACAGAGGAGCATCCATTCTTTTGTTTGAAGGGCAAAACCAACCAACATAAAGGTCCAACGATGCCATCTGCACCTATCCCCCCACCCATGACAATCCTGCAAAGCACCTTTAACCTCTTCGCTCTGCTCCTCGGTCCTTCAGGTTCCCAGAGTGGAGGAATCCGAGGCTTCTCACATCTCAACCCCGGCTGCGGAGGCAGTGAGCTCCGGGTTCTCCAGGAAATGAAGGAGGGCACGAATCTTTAGAGGACAGAAAGACAAGGCGCTGCGGAAACCCGGAGACTTGCAAATTCGTGAGCAAGAGAAACCCCGCGGGACAGAGAGGCTGCTGTGTTTGTTCAGGGTGGGGACCGAAGGGACGCCGGGCACACTCTCTCTAAGAGACGCGGAAGGGCGTGAACTCGGCCAGAGCCGAGCCGCGAAGCCGACTTACGGTTCCTTCTCCCGGTGAGGACCGGCAGGATCCCGCAGGCTGCAGGGCTCCTCCGCATGGCCGCCTCCCTCTCGCGCCGAGCCGGTGACCTCGGGTCCACTGCGCGCCCGGTCCACCCGGAGCCGGAGGACGCGCGCGGGAAGCGCTGCGCTGCGTGAGCCCGAGGTCGGGCCATCTCACATGGGTGGGTGCCCCATCCTCCCCTGCTGTGCCCCGCTTTCAGGAACAGAGTAGGGGCCACCGCCTGTTCCTGCGCGCCCGACCACCGGGGCACCTGCCTCCCCTCGCAACTGGAGCCTAGGAAGGGGAAGAAAGGTGGAGAGCTGGAGCCCAGACCCGAACTCCTGGCGGCGGCTTCTGCAGATCCCTGAGGAGCTTCCTGCAGCAGGAAGTTGGGTCGAGCCCCCTGGTCCTCTTAGAAAGGCAGAGGAACAGAATAAGGTGGTAGCGGCTCCACAATGCTCCTTCTTGTCATGAGTTGATTGAAACAAGAATTAGTTTACTTTAAATTCTGTGTAGAAAATGAACAGCCACTTCACTTCTTCTGTAGGTGATTTCTAGAAAGCATTGTTTTCTGTAATTGCCATGTATTTTGTGCAGTGTCTCCACAGTACAATGCCTTTTAAAGAAGATTGCGGTCTTTAAAGCATCCGTAGGTCTTATCGTTTATACTTTATTATGTTTTACTCGTTTATCGAAGATGAAAATAATTGCTAAACAGGTCTTTTTGAGAAAAGTCTCTTTTTCACTTTCTGTAAGCAGCTCTTCTGCATGTAGTGGCTTTTTAGGATGATCTTATTAAAATGTTTGAACTGAAAAAAATCTCATGGACTGTAGAATGGGAATGAATCTTTACTCAAAACTTACAGCAAAATGAAATGTTTTCATCCTAATGTTTCAGTGTAAATTCATTGAAATACCTTAATTTCTTTGGGACAAAACCAATAAAAACTTATGTAATTAAAAATTTTTAATTAAAAATATTTGTGAAGTATACTTGTTAAGCTCTTACACTAAATTTTATTTGAAATGCTATAACTTACTGGTATTTTAAAAGAATTTAATTTTGATAAAAATTTAAA